TTATTGACTGAAGGTCATTATGAAGCACATGATTGTAGTTCACTGGGGGGCAATATTTCTCATTTTTTATTGTACATCACTACCCTCCTATTGCAACTAGATATTTCAGCATTTGACTTACTGTAAGAAGACGTAATTATGAAATAAACCTTTATAACATTACAAAGGCATTACTCTCAGGAAAGAATTACTTATATGTCAACACAAAAAGTTGTACATGAATGTGCATAGCAGCATTATTCATAATAGCCAAAAGTACAAAAAAATCCAAATATCTACCATCTGGTGAATAGGTAATAAAATATGGTACATCCAAACAATAGAATACTATTAGCCATTAAAAGGAATGACAAATCTCAGAAGGAAGGGAGGAGGGAAGAGATTAACTAAAGAATTTATGTGCATACTAGAGGCCCAATGCACGAAATTCATGCACAGGTAGAGTCCCTAAGCCTGGCCGCTAAGCCTGGCCGACGATCAAGGCAGATCTGTGGGGTGACTGACAGGGCAATCAGGGTGGCCCCACTGGCACCCGCCTTGGTTGGCCTGGTGCCACCCACTCACTGGCCCCACTCCCTGCCCCCACCACTGGTCACCTCCCTCTGTGGGTGACCTGCAGGGCGATCGGGGCCCCCCTGCTGGTACCCGCCTTGGCTGGCCTGGGGCCTATGGGTTGGAGGCAGTTCCTGCATTGAGCAGCGGCCCCCTGGTGGTCAGTGTGTGTTATAGAGACTGGTCATTCCACCGGTCATTCCACCATACAGTCAATTTGCATATTAGGCTTTTATTATATAGGATAGGCATAACCCATGGACATAGACAATAGTGTGGTGAAGGCCTGGAGGGGGTCGATGGGGGCAAAACAAGGGGGTATATCTGTAATACTTTCAACAATAAAGATAAATAAGAATTTTATAAAAAGAACTACAGTTGCTCCTCAATGTATGATGGGGTTACATCCCAAACATCACAGCTTAGCCTAGCCTACTGGTATATCAAATGTGCTAAGAACACTTACATTAGCCTACAGTTGGGCAATTATTTTGAGTTTCATCTCGACAGTAATTGCCTTCCTCTTTTTTTCACCATAAGCAGGAGATACAAATGGGCATTTTGTAGCCATGATGGGATGCAAAACACAATATCCCCCAAATAGTGGCAACACGGTACACTGTAGAGTGTCAGTTGTTACCTGCATGATCACGTGGCCGACTGGGAGTTGTGACTTGCTGCCTAGCAGCACAAGAGACTGTCATACCACATACAGGGTGGAGCAAAAGTAGGTACAGTTGTTCGTATGGAAAATAATACAGTAATTAATAAATAACTAATAATACAAGAATAAACTCTGTTTCACATACTCACAACTGTAAACCTACTTTTGCCCAATCCTGAATTGCTAGCTTGAGAAAGGATCAAAATTCAAAGTATAGCATCCACTGGATGGATAAGTTGAGCCACCATTAGTCAGGGACTAGCTGTACTGATATACACTGAGTGGCTAGATATACACTGAGTGGCCAGATTATTATGACCGGCCAGATTATTATGACCAACCCATCAGTACAATGAAGGAAGTAAATTAGTTATGCAAATAATAATAATAATAATAATAATAACAAAACCTTGAGAGTATTTGCTTAGGAAGTTTTCAGTGTCAATGAAGTACTGATGGGGTGGTCATAATTATCTGGCCAATCAGTGTATATTACAACACAGCTGAACATCAGACATATGAGACTAAGTCAAATAAGACCAAATATTTTATGATTTCACTTATATGGAATTCCTAGAAAAGGCAAATCTATAGTGATAGAAAAATTAGTGGTTGCCTGGAGCTGGGATTAGGAATGAATTTTAAGAATTCTTCAGTGAGTAAGGGCCTGACTAGAAAAGGACACTTCTTAATTTAGTCCTGGGCGCTTTATCACTTACTGTCACAGATCAAATCAAGTGATAGCTTGTTGCAGATATCCCGAATGTTCCCCAGTTATAGGAAATTTCCTTCTTTATTTTAATATTGTTCTCTGAATAGTAAACAGTTTCCATCCACAGAATCCGACTGGCCCTTTATCTTCTTGTTGCTATTGCATGCTCTGCCAACTCATTTATTGACACTATTGTATTTTCTTCTGGCTTCATGACCTGCATTTTGTTGTTTTTAGACACATCCAGTTGCATCTCCTGTAAGGATAATCCTGGTAGATTATCTCCCAGGTGTGCTTCTGTAAGTCAAGCTTCCCCGTCAGTGTCATCTTTAGAGATTCAGGACTAGGGCATCTCACACTGTATATTTACCCTCTCCCCATCCCTTCACCATGGTAGAGACATAAAATTAGCTTTTAGCATCAAGAGCAGTCTGAAGGGGAAAGAAGACACAAAAGGGTCGTTTGGAGATCTCTGTGCAGTGACAGATGTGTTTCATCCCTTTGCTTGAGAAATGTTAGGGAATATTTATGAGTCAATCTGTCAGACAGCAGATACGCTATTTGGGAAATGAAGCCCAAGACGTATCTTTTTTAGAAAGCAGCTGCTGACTTCCATAGTTTCTGTTCAATCAGCAGCACTGAAAGTGCCACCTCCCCCAAAACAGTTACCTCTCACTGATGCCCAAACCACTGCAAACATATAGCAGGTAACCTGCATGGAAAGTACACTTGCTTTACAAAGGAAACAAAACACACACACACACACACACACACACACACACACACTTTTAAAACTATGATTATCTGCTTCCTTAATAAGCTAGATAAAGATTAGCTTCCTAATTTTACCAATAACAAATTGAGAAATATCACCATTACTTTGCCTACGTCACTGTGTCACTGCTGGCTATGTGATGGAGAAGGTTCTGGTCTCCTAGCTTCTGGTGGCTTAGCTATCAAAGTCAAATTACCTTGTTTTTCAAGCAGGGGACTCCTCCTCCCCTCCCCTCCCACCACCACCACCCAGGAAAGGAGAAAATCAGAACAATTAAAGGACAACAATAAAAAGAAGTACATTAGGAAAAGGAAACATAGCTTCAGTTTCCCCACCTCTACCTGAGAGCTGAGCCGCGCTCTGAAAGGTGCCTGCAGTTGTGGTTTCTGTTCCCGATATTCTGAACAGTGATGAAAGGGTCTGCTGTTTCTGACAGGGGAGGAGAGGGAATCTGGGAAGGTGGGAAATTCATGGTCTTAGGGCAGTGGCTGCCGGAAGGGTGGTCCCTCAAGGTCCCTGGAAAGGGAACCTTGAGGGACCCGGTAAGTGTCTCCCCACTATGAGGAGCGCTCCGCTCTGCCTTGCCTCCCAAGCTTCAGGCCTCCCTCCCTGACCGTGTCTTTGCTTTTCCCACTTCTTTCCTCTAACCCAAGCTCAGGACGTCCCTACTGTGATCAAATCACATCACCTTCCGACCTGAGCTGTGGCACAGGCTGAAAGCCTGCTTGCACATGTGCCTCTCCAACTCTGTCTCATAAAAAATAAAAAACCCAAAAAGTATCTATCCCTTTTCCGGATCTGGTGCCTGAAACCTACAAGGCGCAGAGCCCTCCCTCCCATCCCTCTAACCCTCTACCTAGAAAGGGCCAGTTTCTCTGCTCAGGGTTATCTGACCGCCAGTGGAGCGCTCTCCAAGTGGACTTCGCATCAGCAGGTGAAGAATCGCCCTCGCTCTAGTTTTGCTTCGACCACCCATCCCTCCACTCACTAAGATCAAAGGGAAAGCATTTCAATTCCCACTCTGTTAACTCCCGTCACCCGTGGGCCACGAGGGAGCCCTGCGAGGTTTCCTCGCCGCAGGCTGTCCCCTGCCTGCTGGGCTCCAAGGCGCCGAGAACACGCGCCGGGCGGCCGGAGGCACCTGCGCCCGGGCTGCAGCGCTCGGGCCCGGGGCGAAAGCGAGTCGCGGCTAGAAAGGGAGCGGAGCGCGCGGCCGGGCGGGCGGCGGGTGCGGGAGGGCGCGGGAGGGCGCGGGCGGCTCACCTCGGCAGGCGCCCGCCCAGCAGGCCAGCAGCAGCAGCAGCGCCAGGAGCGGGGGCGCCGTGGCCCCTGGTCCGGGGGGCGTCCCGGGGAGGCGCTTCGCTGCCGGCGGCATCTCGGCGCCCGCGGACGGACGGCTCGGGGATCGCGACGTGCGCTGCCCCCCGCGGGGGCCGGAGTCCTGGCCTATGCTGTGGGGTCCTTCTGATACGATGTATAGCGTCGTGCTGTGAACTGACCGCCCCGCTCGCCGCCAACTTTTAAACCTCGTGGACACGTGGGCTGATGCGCGCGGGTCCCCGGGCGCGCCACCCCGCAGCACCGCCGCCGGCCTCTCCGGGGGTCACTCCCGCCCCCTGCCCGCCCCCTGTCCGCCCCCGCTGCACCCTTCTCGGGACCCGCGCCCCCTCGCCCCTGCTCTGACTCAGGATACCCTGGCTTTCATCGTCGCCGCCCTCGGGGCTTGGGGAACGCGGAGAAGGGAATTAAAACAATGACCCCCGTTCTGGAAGGATTAGAGTGGCCTCGGGCCTCCGAAGGCGGATGGCAAACCAGGGGGTCCCAAGAGGCCGGGACTTTTCACTTGAACGCGGTTACCCTCTCTCGGTTCTTGAGCGGGTCTGTGCACCCCTGCTTCCTCGCCCTCGGGGGAACCCTGCCCTGCCCACCCTCCTGCGTGGTGCCTCCTCTTCCTGGACCCATAGCACCTCGTTCGCTCACGCGTTCCCAGCTCCTAGCACGATGCCTGGCACGTGTGAAAACAACGCTGGTTCCACCGTGATGCTGATGTCCCCAAATCCCTGCAAGGTCTGAGGCCATTTGGGGAAATGCAGTCGTCTGTTAATGAAGGTCAAGAAGAAAGGACCTCGCCCTAACCGGTTTGGCTCACTGGATAGAGAGCGTTGGCCTGCAGACTGAAGGGTCCCAGGTTCAATTCCGGTCAAGGGCATGTACCTTGGTTGCAGGCACATCCCCAGTAGGGGGTGTGCAGGAGGCAGCTGATCGATGTTTCTCTCTCATCGATGTTTCTAACTCTCTGTCCCTCTCCCTTCCTCTCTGTAAAAAAGTCAATAAAAAATATTTTTAAAAAAGAAGAAGAAGAAAGGACCTTGAGGGGGCGTGGCCACGCATACATTTCTCACAAGTCTAGAAAGTCTCCGGTTGTCTTGTGGGTGGATTTCCGAGCCTGAGGTAGCCCCTTTTCCTATGCACCTCAGCGGCTCTCAATCCCCAGCGGTTGCATTCTGATTTCCAGGGTGACCCGACTTCTGCGGTCACTGTCGGTACTTTACTTCCTACGGGGAACTGTCCAGGAACGGCCTCTTTCAGGACACGGCCTGATCAGGTTTTAATTTCCTCCTACAGAACGAGGGAAGGCTGATCTTATTTTATCTCCTTTTGAAAGGAACGCAGAGGGAAGCGTAGGAAGGCAGTACATTCACAATTCTTAAGGGACCTCTTTAAGTCAGGCACTTTCCCTTGCTATTTCATTTCATATTCATGGCATCTCTGGGATGTTAAAGTATTTTGCTCCTCCTTGGATGATGCTCGGAGAGATTTATACAATCTGCTCAAGGTTGTCAGCATGTGAGAGAGCCACTGTCCCCTCTACTCTCCGAAGATGCTTCTCGCCCAAATCAGGCTCTTTAATGTATCAGGCATGCCTTGTGCAGCCCGCTATAATCAAGGCCTGCCCTTAAGCATTCAACACTTAATAACAGTAGGACCTTTCCAAAAGGTAAAGAGGCCCAAACTCACACTCAAATAGCTGCATTGCAAGGCAGGTTGGGATAGTGCTCGGTCAGAAATACAGAGAGAGGCCAGGTATAAGCCTGACAGAAAAAGTGAACAAAAATAATGGCTACCATTTTTAAGTTCTTTATATACACAAAACAAGTGAGCAAGGCCAGATTATAGAGCCTGGTCCAGGTCCAAGGATGGATGCGAATAGCTTTGATTCAAGATTGCTTGTACTTTGATTTATTCCCAGAATAATAAAACAGTAGTGCAAAAGATGTAAAGTGTAGGGCGTGGCTATAGGGTTAAGCCTTGGACTGACCTGTTGGCAAAGCCACAAACAAGTCCCAGCTTAGAGGGCACAGTCCTCTTAGCATAATTAGGTTTGACCTTATGACGCTCCCTACATCTTATCTGGGTAACTAATGGGCTGAGGGAGATGCAGCAAGTGCTGCCAAAACAAGTGAAACTCACAAGAACACTGTAACTATGGTGACCACTACCTTTTTACCTCTGGCTATAAAATAAAGGCTCAGCTTGCCTCTGGATCTCTCTCTGTGGCCTCAGCCAGGCACAGGAAGATCCACCTAGACCCAGCTTATTCTCTCTGTCTTTTCTTCATCCTTCGCCGCCCCCCGCCCCCCTCAGGCTTTCGAACCCTTGGCTGAGCTGGCTCCACACAGTAAAGGAGGTAAATGAAATAAGGATGTAGGAGGTGGCTCTGGTTCTTCATTGCTTTCCTTGTGTCTCCTGAAGGTGCACAGAAAGATCCCTAGTTTCAGTGGTCTATGTGGGGTGAGATGTCCATGGAAACAGAGAAGCCTGAAAATAGCGAGCTCAATGCTTTCTAACAAGGTGGCTCTCAGAGGATCAGCAAAAGAAAAACTCATGCATTACAAGTTTTGTTTTGGTTTTGGTTTTTTTCCCTGCACAAACCAAGCTGTTCTGAATGTTCTTGTACAAGTTCCTTGGTGCACATGTGAAAGAGTTTTCTTGTTACAGAGCAGGAAAAATTTTAGGCCTGCTTAATTATTTAGCCACCTCAGCAGCTTGACAGCCTTTACAAAGTTTCTAGGCACTGAGCTCCCACACCTGAGCTATGGCCCACAAAGAACAAACAGATCAAAATTAAGAATAGTCCTGACCTTTAAGTTACCCAGAAATGAATAACAGGAGGATGATGAACAGCTTGGCTAAAACTACACAATTAGCTTTTGTAACTTGGCTTTGCTTGCTATGGGAACCTGAACACAAATGTAGTTGTCCCCTTTAAATATTGGACTCTGCAGATGGTCAGGGCTGCTTCTCTCTTGGGCTTCCCGAGTGGAGGAGCGGACACTGGCCAGTCAATAAAGGCTCTCTAAATTTTAATCAGTCTGGAGTTCTGGTCATCCTGTCGCTCGCACTCCACAACATTCTGGGGTATATACCTCGGAGCAGAGGATTTAGGTCATAGGGGATAACCTAGTAAACTCTGCTTTAAATTGTTTTTCCAATGTGTTGTACCAATTTACACTCCACTGAAATGCATGAGGTTTACACTGCTGCACGACCTTGCAAATATCTTACCAGACTGGCATCTCATGGTGGATTTGCAATTCCCAGTACTAATCAGGTTCAATATATTTTCACAAATGTATTGGCCATTATTGTTTTCTCTTTAGTGAGATGTCTATGTATCTCTTTTGCCCATTTCCCCCCAGGGGTTGTTAGTTTTTTTGTGTGTTTTGTTTTGCTTTGCTTTGTTTTTTTCATCCCAGTGTAGGGATGTCTTATGTATTCTGGAACTTTTGTTAGTCAAATGTATAGTAAATCTTACTCCCTACTTATGGGATTTTCTTTTCTCTGTATGTAGGAGTTGTTATTTTTTGAAAAAAAAATGCTTAAGAAAAGCCTTGCAAACTAATGGTCATGCCATTATGTGATTGGATGATAAAAGAAGATGGGTGGGGGATTGAGTATCATGCTGATTCCTCTCATCTGTTATCGCTTACATTCCTGACCACACATTGGCAACTGGACTTTAATTTCTGCTTACAACCTATAAGAATTAAGACTCAGATCATGGGCTTCCAGATTAGCTAGACCTGCTAGCTTGTCATAGGAATGTCGAGAAAAGTCATCACAAAAAAAGCATTAGGAAGAGTACAATGGTTGAATGTCAGGAGAAGGGGAGAGTTGGCAATAAATAGAAATATATTGAGGCAGTAGTTAACAATAGCAAAGTCTAGTAATAGGTGAAAAGACCCAGCTTGAGGAGCTGAGCGTAGGGGCAAGATCTGAAGATTTAGGAATTCTAGGCAAGATCTGCATTCCTTCAACTGTTAATTGAGCACCATCTAAGTTTCATTCCAGAAGCTTGGGATACAGCAGGGGCCTCGTCAGATAAAGACTCTGCCTTGGTGGAGTTGGCAGATAGCAGTGAGAAAACAAAACAAAAATAATCTCAGATAGTAGTAAGTGCTACAAAGAAATTAAAACAAGGTAATGACATAATAGAAGATGACTGGGAGTTGGGGGAAATATACTTGAAACAGGATTATCTAGGCTTGCCTGCTCAGAGAAGATATTAGAGGCCAGAAAGAGGGGAAGAAAACTGTCAAAAGAACTGTGAAAAAGCCCCAGGCAAAGGGAACATCACGTGCAAAGGCTCTGAGGCAGGAAGTATTCTGAACCATTCAAGAAGCTGGAGGAAACCAGTGTAACAGGCATAGGGTGAGTGGGTGAGTGTGGGGAACTGAGGTTAGAGAAGTAGACAGGGTGGGTCCTGATCATTGAGAGGTCTTGGAGGCCATGGCAAGAATTCAAATTTTTCTCTAAGTAAAATGAGGAGCCTTTGGGGGATTGTAAGTGAAGGAGATCATCTAATTTAACTTTGGGAAAGAGTACTCTCACTTTAGTGGTGAGCAGGTTCTGGGAGACCCTAGTAGAAATAAGTACAGTAGAAGAGGTAGAAGGGCATTGCATAGGTCCACCCCAGAAAAGAGATGAAGTACTATATATACCACAACGTGGAGGAACCTTGACAATATTATGCTAAATGAAAGAAGCCAGACACAAATGGCTACATATTATATGATTCCACGTATGTATAATATCCAGAACAGGCAATGCTATGGAAACAGAAAATAGATTAAGTGGTTTCTAGGGCCTGGGGAGATAGAGGAGTCACTGCTAGTAAGTACAGAGGTTTCCTTTTAAGGTAATGAAAATGTTCTGGAATTAGACATCGGTGATGGTCCCACAATCTTGTGAATATACTAAAAACAGCGAATTCTACATTTTAAAAGGATGAATTTTATGGTATGTGAATTAAATCCCAATTATAAAAAAGGAAACAAGTCCAGGCAAGATATGATGATGAAAACCTGTTGGACT